ACCAGGTTCTATTATTTTTATTGTTTGCAAAGATAAAATAGTAAAATATTTTTTCAAAGAATAATTTCTTATATAAGTTAAAACTAGCCCTGGCCGGTTTGGCTCAGCAGTTAGAGCATCGGCCTGCGGTCTGGAGACACCCGGGTTCGGTTCCCGCTAAGGGCATGTACCTCGGTTGCAGTTTGTCCCCGGCCCTGGTTGGTCGTGTGGGTGGCAGCCACTCGATGTGTCCCTTTCACATCGATGTTTCTCTCTCTCTCTCCCTCCCTCCCTCCCTCCCACTCTATCTGTGCAAAAAATGGAAAAATGTCCTTGGGTGAGGATAAAAATAAATAAATAAATAAATAAATAAATAAATAAATAAATAAATAAATAAATCTAATTAAAACAGTAATAAAGGCCAGGGAAAGAAAGATGAGTTATTAAGAGACTAAGAAAGCACTACTTGAGAAGTGACTGTAAAGTCAGGATTATGAAGTCACAAAACTCAGGAAGAGCTCATTGGTCGAGTATCAAACGTAGAAAGTCCATGTAAGTTATGAACCAGAAATGTACTAATGTGAGTGAGAGACTGGTGTGGACATGGGTGACTGAAGATTGCTTTTTAGGTAGAGTAATGGTGGTGGAAATTAAAGACTGAGGAGGAAGGAGGGAGGAAGTGATCTAGATAAGGGCAAATCAGACCCTGGCAGGTTTTGTTTATTTTGTGTTTTAAATGATCAGGTTTGAGCCTATTTAAATACTGTTGAGCAGGATAGAGAGAAGCAAAGTGGGTAGGGATGAAATCCAGAATATAGTGTTGAGATCATTGTGACAGTGGGAGTGTAGGAGGAGAAAGAGCCCTGAAGTGACTATCATGAGACCTAGTTATTATTGTTTCAATTCTTTGACACTTAGTTGCTTCATCTATAACAGAAGTTGGCAAACTTTTTCAGCAAAAGGCTAGATAGTGAATATTTTAGTCTTTGTGGGCCATAGTGTCTGTTACATTTATTCAGCTATACTCTGTATAAGAGGAAAGCAGCCATAGACAGTAGACAAATGAATAGGGTGTTTCTGTGTTCCATTAACTTTGACTCCTTGAATTTCATATAATTTTTAAGTGATGTTAACATTCCTGATTTTTTTTTTCAGTCATTTATCTTGTGGACCCTACAAAAGTAGTTAGTGGGCTAGATTTGGCCCATAAACTATACTTTGCCAACCCTTAGACTAGCAAATGAAACTTTGGACTAAAATATATATACACAAAATAAATATACATTTAGTGGACTTAATCTCACTAAGTGTATATTTATCATACTGCATGATCTGATTTAACCTTTTGTTTATTAGAAGTAATTCTTAGTCTCAACCATTTAGAACTCTCAAGAATTCAGAATTTGTGTATTTGTGACTAAAGTTCCAAGAATATTATTTATTCATCATTTATTCTTTAGGTACTCTTTCCTGAGATTACTAGAAGAGGAATGATTTTTGTCATATCTGCATACAATCAATACAAAAATTTATTTCAGTAATTTAAAAATAGACTTATTTTTTTACATAACTATATTTGGGTATGGAAAATCAGTATTATATGGCACAAATAAAAGGTAATAGTAAAAATAAGTTAAAATAGAACAGTGTTATTTGCCAGAAAATCCTGAAACTGAGGCACCCTTGCTTTCTCTCTCTCTCTCTCTCTCTCTCCCTCCCTCCCCCCCTTCTCCTTCTCCCTCCCCCCACCCAAAGACATTTTTGCATTTATCTTCAGATAGAGCAGGGGGGAGAGATGCAGGAAGAGAAAGAAACATCGATGTGTCTAGACACATCGACTGGTTGCCACCCTCACAACCCCAACCGGGGCCGGGGACAAACTGCAACTGAGGTATGTGCCCCTAGTAGGAACCGAACCCAGGAGACTCTGGTCCACAGGCTGATGTTCTAACTGCTGAGCCAAACCAACCAGGGCGAGGCGTTGTTTCTTTTTGTTAAAAAGAGAGCGCAAATTTTTAGAGGTGTTTAAAGTTAAGAAGCTGATTAATGTAAAAGTTTGCAACAGAACTGAAAACAACTTTCTTAATAATGCTTCACATATCTACAGTCGTCCTGAATTGCCTTATATTAGGAAATCTTTTCATAACTGATAGTACTTAAGTCTTATTAATAGAACTCTGGGGCTTTCTTAAGTTCAGTTGAAACACCAAGTACTGTTTTGTTTTTATTTCTATTTACAAAGTACTGTTCTTATTCTTATAGTACTAGATAAAAGAGTTTGCAGGTGCATTTAGTAGTCTTTAATCTGTTACCAGAAGTCTCAAGCATTCAGGTCTTTACTTTTTTTTTTTTATCCAGAGAAATTTTTGCATTTATCTTCCGATAGGGTAGGAGGGAGAGAAGGAGAAAGAGAGAGAGATAAACATCGACGTGAGAGAGAGACATCGACTGGTCGTCACCCACATGACCCCAACAGGGGCTGGGGACAAACTGCAACCGAGGTACGCGTGCCCCTAGTGGGAACTGAACCTGGGCCTCTCTGGTCTGTGGGCCAATGCTCTAACTGCTGAACCAAACCGGCCAGGGCCAGGTCTTTACTTTTTAATGATAGTCTTAGGAATCTCAGTAGAAGTATTCTTTTAAAACAGACTTTGAGCCCTGACCAGTTTGGCTCAGCAGTTAGAGCTTTGTCTCTTGGACCAAAGGGTCTCAGATAGGATTCCTGATCAAGGGCATGTAGGTTCAGCCCTCGGCCCTGGTCTGGGTCATGCAGGAGACAACCACTCTATGTGTTTCTCTCACATTGATGTCTCTCTCTCTCTCTCTCTTTCCCTCCCTTCACCTCTATCTAAAAAAAAAAAAAAAAAAAATCAATGGAAAAATAGCCTCGAGTGAGGATTAACCAAAAATAATTAAATAAATTAAATTAAATAGATTTTGAGAGGATTAAGTCTTTTGACCTGGCTATTTAACATAAAAGGGATTTGTTCATTTGCCACTAATTTGTCTCTGGATAATACACACAGTAATGCTCTGTATAGGAAGTTAATGACTTCTCCAAGGTTAATTTGTTTGCAGAGCTAGAATCAGAACCAACATCATTTGCCTTCTCAGCTAGTTAACTTTACAATACTGTGCTTCTTGACAAACTATAACTTGGTTTCATAGTATAGGCTTCCAGGGTACACTAATGGTTAATTATGTATAGTTAACTGTGTACCAGGTTCTGCATCCATGTGAGGTACTTGATATTGTCATTTCTGAATTTGTCTATAGTATTTGGGTCTAAGCTTTCTTTTATAAGTTGAGACTCCTCCTCACTCCCAGAAATCTCCAAGCCATTTTATTTTTCCTTCTTGCTTTTTAGTTCCTTTATACTTTTTATTTCTTTTACCATTGTAAACACCTCTATTATACTGTTAAAAGGAAGCAATGATAGCGTGTGTCCTTGTATTCTTAACTTGAGGTAGTGTTTCTAAACAAATTAAGAGAATCCCTTAAGACTTTATTACAACTAGAGAAACATTTTATTAGAAACCATACATTTGAAATATCATTAGTCTTTACTGAAAATATAATTTAACTATATTTAAAAGCAATATTGAGGCCCTGGCCATTTTGGCTCAGCGGTTAGAGCATTGGCCTGCAGACCAGAGAGACCCGGGTTCGGTTCCCACTAAGGGCACGTACCTCAGTTGTGATCTGTCCCGGCCCTGGTTGGAGTTGTGTGGGTGGCAACCAGTCAATGTGTCTCTCTCACATCGATGTTTCTCTCTCCCGCTCTATCTGAAGATAAATGCAAAATTAATCAATCAATCAATAAAATAAAATAAAAGCAATATTGAGGATTGTCACAGCATACAGCTCTTCAAGTAAAATATATTCAACTGATGATTGTATACCTTTGTGTAGAGTAGGTATAGATCATGATTAATTGAAGAATTTGTTTGTCATATAAGTCATTCTAAATAAATTATTCTCCCTTTTCCAACACCCTTACAAAACTACCAGGTGACTTTGGCAGTCTTGGCAGCTATCTCTGGAGCTGGTGGATCTTAAGTTTATTCTTATTAAGAGTCAGTACCACTAGTGTATATTAATGTGACTAGATGAAAAACTGATTTTCTTCTCTTTCTAGAGATGTTGTCCGTTCCCTATTCTGATCCATGATTGATTGGGAGATGCAAGATCACCTTTCATAAAGGGAGGAAGAGTGTGGATTAGGGGGAAGATCCTTTATGAAGCTTTAATAGAACCTTATCCTTTGTGATCCTTCTGTGGAATTTTGACAGCTCTTATTTTGGATTGTTATCTAACGTTTGAGCTAAGCAGTTGATATCAGAAAGCCCATGAACTATATTATAAAGTGGTATGAAAAATACATGTTTATATGTACATGGGCTTCATAACTTTCCTTTGATATACAATCTGAGTTCTACTTGAAAGATTAAGAGTCAGTCAGTGTAGGGGGTGGGAAGAGAAGCGGGGGAGGGAGGAAAAGGAATTTATTACTAGTATGACAATACATGATGTCTTAAACCATTTGTAGAGTGATACTTATGAACAGCAGTCATTGAGTGACTGTTTTAGACCATCAATTGTTGGGATAGCCATGTAATAGTTGGCTTATGACTTTCATAAGTTTCTTCCAAAGCCAGAGATTCTGATTTAGAGAATATTGTCTATTCACAGAGGTGTCTAGTAAAAATACTGTATAAAGTAAAGTATTTGGCAACAATTTTACCAAATGTTGGTTAAAAAATAGGTGATTGGTAGCTCTTAAGTTTTTCAGGAGCACAGAGGCTTTTTGTTACACAATTACAATTACATGAATTACAAGGAAAAAGTCTATTAGAAACTACAAAATAAATATTTAACCTGACAAATTAAGATTGAAACCTGTTGCAAGTGTGACCAAAAATATATCTTTATTTAATTCCTGTAAGAACTTTTAAATGCCTCTTATGTATTTCTTGACTTTTTGCTTAATAACTTTAGGTTGATTTTAGGCCACCAAAAAAATGGAAATGAAAGAGATTGCTAAACACAAGACACTGTGGAAAATGAACTCAACCAGTGAACCTTTATTAGTTACTGGTGTAGAAGACAATCCTTTGAAGAAATTTACCATTCCCAAGATCAGGAGGAAATCTGGGAAAGGTAATTTCGTAACTATTTCTGTATTTCATAATTATTACTGCATTTCTCTGCTTCTAAGTTTATGTTTATTTCATAACTTACTGCATTTCTCTGCTTCTTTGTTTATCTTCTATTTTGACTATAAAATTAGCTTAAGTCAGGCCTTTAATGCCTTAAACATACATGTACTTTGGTTCCACATAAAATGGAATAGACCTGTCTCCTGTCCCTCCCACTAAGTACACCTAAAAACGCTGAACATCATACATAAAACAAACATTAGAAGACTTTGAAAGGTGGAGAGAAGATAACAGGCTGGTTGGGGACCCTGAGACTCAAGGAATGGCATAGCATTAAGTTCTCTCAATTTTCTTTTTGTTTCCTCCATGTCTCAGATGGTATGCCCACAACTCAGGAAAGCCAATTGTCAAACATACCCAAAAAGAAAAGTCTTCCCCTACCAAGGACTGGGAAAGGGACATCCTAGAAAAATAGAAACTGCCTTGGCCAGTTTGGCTCAGCGGTTAGATTATTGGCCCACAGATTGAAGGGTTTTGGGTTCAATTCCTGATCAAGGGCACATACTTGGGTTTCAGATTTGATCCCTGGCCCCAGTTGAGGTCATGCAGGAGGCAAGCAATTGATGTGTCTCTCTCACATCTATGTTTTTCTCTCTACCCCTGCCCTTCCTCCCTTCCACTCTATCTAAAAACCAATGGGAAAATATCCTCAGGTGAGGATTAAAAAAAAAGCCTATTTGACAGTAAACACCCTACTCCTGCAAAACACTAGAGGGAAAAAAATATAGCCCCTACACCTTTGTCAGCAAAGGTAAGTAGAGGCAGAGAGTTCCACCTATGTCTGTCCCCTCTGTGACAGTAACAAATTCTCCTCCCTGCCATCTCCCACCCATGAAGTGTCAGTGGATTTCCACCTCTGCCCTTTAGTGATGAATCACTTCTTCTTACTGGGAGTAGAGTCAGTGAAGACAAAGTGAGCAGCATAGAAATCTATTACACCCACCTGTAACAAGGCATCTGTCCCCCTCCAACCTCTGCTAGCTGCAGATTTTTCTTCTGCATCTTCCTCATTTCTCTCAGTCTTCATAGAATTGAGGAGTGTCTTGTGCTGCATTAGTTTTTGGCTTAAGGGAATGTTTTGGCTGGTTTGAGCTATCCAGACCACTTAACACTTTCTCCACATCAGCAGTAAGGCTGTTTCATTTTATCATTTGTGCGTTCACTGTAGCACTTTAAATTTGGAGTCTGAGTAAGAAAGTAGAGGTCTTCCCCTTTATTATGGTAACAAGGCACTCCCCCCCCCCCCCCCCAGGACATCAATGGAGACCCTGTGGAAAGCCAGGACTTCAATTCTGCCTGATGGTGAAGAGTTGACACTCCCCCTCCGTTCCCTTCAGGCACACTTTATTCTACCAGTACAGTTTTAGAAGAGGCTTATTAAAACACAAGATTAAATGTGATCCAGAGTCTCTCGACAATACTCAAATGACCAAGATGTAATTTGGTTTTGAATCCTCACTGGAGGATATGTTTATTGATTTAAAAAAAAATTTTTTTAAGAGAGAAAGGAAAGGAGAGAGAGAGAGAAAAACAACAGGGTGAGAGAGAAACATTGATTGATTGCTTCTTGTATGCGCCCCAAGTGGCGACCGACCCCACAGCCTAGGTATGTGCTCTGACTGGGAATTGAACCTGGAACCTTTCTGTGTACAGGACAACACTCCAGCCAACTGAGCCATACCTGCCAGGGCCAAGATGTAATTTAAAAATTACTTATCTTAAAAAAATGACACAAATTACTTATCTTACCACCACCCAGGAAAATCTCAACTTGAATGAGAAAAAATAATCAACAGATGCCAACACAGCGATGAAACAAATATTGGAATTATCTGACAAGGCTTTTAAAGCACCCATCATAATATAGAAAAAGATAGAAACAACTGATTCACACATACAGAAATAAATAAAATAAATAAATAAATAAATAAATAAATCATCTCATTTTTCTCATATTTATTTCATCTCATATTTATTTATTTCACTAATAATGAAAGAAATGCAAATTAAAACCACCAGGTTCTATTTTTATTGTTTGCAAAGGAAAAGTTGTTGGAGGAAATTAAAAGTGCTACAGTGAATGCACAAATGATAAGAAAGTGAAACAACAGCCTTATTGCTGATGTGGAGAACCAGCCACAACATTCCCTTAAGCCAAAACCTAATGCAGCTCAAGACACTAACTCTCTTCAATTCTTTGAAGACTGAGAGAGGTGAGGAAACTGCAGAAGAAAAATTTGTAGCTAGCAGAGGTTGGTTCATGTGTTTAAGGAAAGAAGCTGTCTCCATCGCATAAAAGTACAAAATGAAACAACAGGTGCTGATGTAGAAGCTGCAGCAAGTTATCCAGAGCATCTAAGATAATTAATGAAGGGGACAACATTGAACAACAGATTTTCATTGTAGAGAAAACAGCTTTGTATTGGAGAAATATACCATCTAGGACTGTCACAGCTAGGAATAAGTTAATACCTGGGTGTAAAGCTTCAAAGGATAGGCTCACTCTCTTGTTAGGGGCTAATGCAACTGGCTTTAGGTTGAAGCCAGTGCTCATTTACCATCCTGAAAATCTTAGGGCCCTTAAAAATTATGCTAAATCTACTTAGCCTGTGCTCCATAAATGAAACAGCAAAGCCTGGATAACAGCACATCTGTTTACAATATGGTTTATTGAGTACTTTAAGCCCATTGTTGAGATCTGCTAAAAAAAAATTATTTCAAAATAACACTGCTCATCATCAGTGTCCCTGGTCACACAAGCACTCTGATGGAGATATACAATGAGATTAATGTTGTTTCCATGCCTGCTAACCCAGCATCCATAAATGCAAAACCTTCTAGAAACCTGAGATGCCGTTAAGAACATTTATGATTCAAAAGAAGAGGTCAAAATAACATCATTAACAGGAGTTTGGAAGAAATTGGTTTCAATCCTCGTGGATGACTGAGGGGTTCAAGACTTCAGTAGAGGAAGCAACTGCAGATATGGTGGACATAGCAAAAGAGCTAGAATTAGAAATGGAAAACAAAGATGTGACTGTGTTGCAGCAATCTCACAATAAAACTTCAATGGATGAGGAGTTGCTGCTTATGGATGAACAAAGAAAGTGGTTTTTTAAGATGGAATCGACTCCTGATGAAGATGCTGTGGAGATTACTGAAATGACAACAAAGTACTATTTAGAATATTACATAAACTTAGTTGATAAAGCAACAGCAGGGTTTAAAAAGATAGACTCTAATTTAGAAAGAAATTATATGGTGAGTAAAATGCTGTCAAACAGCATCACATGCTGTAGTGAAATCCTTCATGAAAGGAAGAGTCAAATCAATATGGCAAACTTCACTGTTGTCTTATTTTAAGTAATTGCCACAGCTCGCATCTGGGGATATTCACAGCTCTTGGCGCCTAGCTCAGCTTCTTTCAAATGTCTACTGTTCATGAAATTCTGTGCAAGCTCAATTTGGAGGGTGATCACTCTACACCCCCAAGTGTGTACAGGTCAGTCATAGCCTACACCAACTTTAATGCTGACCAGGATGCTTTGAACATTAAAACAGCCATCAAGACCAAAGGTGTGGATGAGGTCACCATCATCAGCATGTTGACCAACCACAACAATAAACAGAGACAGGATATTGCTTTCACCTACTAGAGGACCAAAAAGGAACTTGCATCAGCACTAAGCCTTGTGGGATCACCTAGAGACGGTGATTTGGGGCCTGTTGAAAACACATGCTCAGTATGATGCTTCCAGGCTGCAGGCTTTCATGAAGGGGCTGGGGACTGATGAGGACTCTCTCAGTGAGATCACCTGTTCAAGGACCAACCAGGAACTGCAGGAAAGTAAGAGTTTGCAAGGAGATGTATAAGATTGATTCTGATAAGATTGATTTTGACACATCTGATGACTTCTGCAAGCTGATGGTTGCACTCCCAAAGGGTAGAAGAGCAGAAGATGGCTCTGTCATTGATTATTAACCGATTGACCAAGTTGCCTGGAACTTCTGTGATACTGGATTGAAGAGGAAAGGAACTGATATTCCCAAGTGAATTAGCATCATGACAGAGCAGAGCATATGTCACATCCAGAAATGATTTGACAGTTACAAGAACTATGGCCCTTATGACATGTTGGAGAGCATCAAGAAGGAAGTCAAGGGAGATCTGGAAAATGCTTTCCTGAACCTGGTCCAGTTGGGCTAGGTGCCAAGAGCTGTGAACATACCCAGAACAAGCCCCTGTATTTTTCTGACTGACTATATGACCATGAAGGGCAAAGGGACATGAGATAAGGTCCTGATCAGAATCATGGTCTCCTACAGTGAACTGGACATGTTGAAAATTAGGTCTGAATTCAAAAGAAAGTATGGCAAGTTCCTGTATTATTATTTCCAGAAAGACTCCAAAGGTGACTACCAGAAAGCGCTGCTATACCTGTGTGGTGGGGATGACTGGGGCCTGTTATGGCTCAAGCTCCAAGAGTGGTGCTCCTATGCTTCCAGCCAACAATTGTAGAAAATCAGCTTGCAACTAATTGCCCTCTGTGCCCATCCCTGTGATGTTAGCATTGCTCCTGCCCCTACCTTATTTCAGTTGCCTAAGCATTGTCTGGCTTTCCCATCTAATCTCTCCTTTTAGCCAAAGAAATGAACATTCCAAAGAGTTGGAAGTGAAATCTATGATGTGAAATACTTTGTCTTTGGTGTACTATGTCATAAACAGATGAATAACTGAATTTTTACTTTAAAAAAATTGCCACAGCCTTGACCAGTTTGGCTCAGTGGTTAAGAGTGTCAGCCCATGGAACGAAGGGTCTCAGGTTTGATTCCTAATCGGGGACAAATACCTGTAGGTTCAATCTCTGGCCCCAGTCGGGTTGTGCAGGAGGCATCCAATGTGTCTCTCTCACATTAGTGTTTCTCTCTCTCTCCCTCCCTTCCACTTTATCTAAAAATCAGTGGGAAGCCCTGCCAGTGTGGCTTAGTGGTTGAGCGTTGACCCATGCACCAAGAGGTCACGAGTTCGATTCCCATTCAGGGCACATGCCAAGGTTATAGGCCAAATCTCCAGTGGGAAGCATGCAGGAGGTGGCCAATCAGTGTTCTCTTTCATCAATGTTTCTCTCTCTCTCATTTCCTCTCTCTCTAAAATCAATAAAGAAAAAAAAACATTTTTTTTTTATTCTCACCTGAGGACATTTTTCCATTTTTTTGTTCAGATAGAGTGGGAGGGAGAGAGAGAGAGAAACATCGATGTGAAAGGGACACACTGAGTGGCTGCCACCTGCACAACCCAACCAGGGCCAGGGACAAACTGCAACTGAGATACGTGCCCTTAACGGGAACTGCACCCAGGTCTCTCTGGATTGCAGGCTGATGCTCTAACCGCTGAGCAAAACTGGCCAGGGCAGAAAAAAAATTTTTTTTTAAATAAAAATCAGTGGGAAAATATCCTCAGTTAAGGATTAATAACAACAAAAAAATTGCCACAGTCGTCCCAGCCATCACCAACCACCACCTTGACCAGTCATTAGCCACCAGCAAACCTCTACCAACAAAAAGATTATGACTTGCTTAAGCCTCAAATAATGGTTAGCATTTTTTAGCAATAAAGTTTTTTTTGTTTTTTTTTAATCCTCCTCACCCGAGGACACTTTTCCACACCTTGTCCAGGTAGAGTGGGATTGAGAGAGAGGAACAGAGAGAAACATCGACGTGAAAGGGACACATCGAGTGGCTGCCACCCACACAGCCAACCAGGGCCGGGGACAAACTGCAACTGAGGTACGTGCCCTTAGCGAGAACCGAACCTGGGTCTCTCCGGACCGCAGGCCGACGCTCCAACCGCTGAGCCAAACCGGCAAGGGCAGCCATAAAGTATTTTTAATTTAGGTATGTACATTTTTTCCAACATAATGCTATTTATTGCACACTAATAGACTATAGTATAGTGTGAACATAACTTTCGTATGCACTGGGGAACCAAAAAATTCATATGACTCAATTTAGCACAACATTTGCTTTATTACAATGATCTGGAACTGAACCCACACTAAATCTGAGGTATGCTTATAGTCACTAATTCAATGTTGTTGGCAACTTTAATAACAAGAATCAACTGTGTCTGTTCTTTGCTCTCCTCCGAATCCTCTTAAGGGTTTTAATCCTTTTGTGTGTGTACTTAATATAGCAATGCTTAAAACATTGCTCATTGTCCTGAAAAAGTCTGTTACTTCTTATTTTTGTCACTGTATCAGTCAGCAGTTTATAAAGATGTTCTGGTATTTTGCAAGTCAAAAGAACCAAATAGTTTACTAGTATATAGGTTTTCTATTTTAGGGGAAATACAAGAAATATTCATGTACTAACAGTAGTTTCCAAGTGTGTGTATCACAATGCATGCTGTAGAGTCAGTATTCATTTTAAATTGAAAATGAGTCAACTGAATTCTAATACTATCTAGTATATCTGTGTCAACTTTCAAGAGGTATATGGAGAAAAACAAGTTTCATATTTTCATTTATAACCGGTGTAGGGAGTCTGTATTAGAACCTTAAATATAAAATGTTGCCTCCAGATATTAATGAAAATCTCAAGTACTTGGTAATTTTGTGTCGTGTATTAGATATACAGTTGTCATTGTACAAGGATATCATTTTAATCACAAATAAATCACTTGCCCTTTTCCTTATCTTTAGTTTACTTGTCACCTTGTTTCACCAATACTAGAGAGTATAGTTTCATACATAATACTCTTAACCAGTGCCGTCTTGATGTAAGTTGTGATCTACAGTCATCATGGCAGTTTGGAGATACAAAACTGGTTCACAATGAGGATCTGGAAAAAAAATTTACTTCTAAGAGGTAAGTTATCATGACCTAAAGAAGTTTGAGATTTTTGTTTTGTTTGTTTTTACTATGAAGTCTTGTGTGAATTTGTTATTTCTTCCATTTGAGGTTTGATAAAGATTACTAAGAAAATAAGTACAGATTGTATTTTTTGTTTGTTTGGTTTTTTTTTATCCTCACCCGAGGACATTTTTCCATTTTTTGTACAGATAGAGTGGGAGGGAGAGAGAGGAAGAGAGAGAGAGGGAAACATCGATGTGAAAGGGACACATCGAGTGGCTGCCACCCGCACGACCAACCAGGGCCGGGGACAAACTGCAACCGAGGTACGTGCCCTTAGCGGGAACCGAACCCGGGTCTCTCCGGACCGCAGGTGGACGCTCTAACCGCTGAGCCAAACCGGCCAGGGCTAGATTGTGTTTATTCATTATATTTTGTTGCCTTCTTATAGCCTTTTCTAATAGTGAAAAGCTAAGTGTCAGATTTGATTAGTAAGTTTCATAATTTATTAGCCAGATTTCAGACACTCCTAACTTTTTAATCTTGATAAAATTTTCAGAAGCATACATCAACACATTCATTAAGCAGCAATTTTGTAGATCCCTTTGTGCCTCCTGCTAGATAAAACAGTAGTTAAAGTATTTAGAAAGTAACTTTTTTCCTTGACTTAGCTCTTCAGAGACTGAGTCGTTTTTATTAGGAGGGATTTTATGTGGCTATTTCCAACTATTTCACTAGAAGCATTATTTTTGACACTTAATTTTTAAAAAGTGCTTCTCTTTTTAGGGACAGTGCATTCCATTATGTTATTTTGATAAGAATCAGCGCATATGCAAAGTTTTCATTGTAAACATTTTGTATTTATATGTATAGATCTTATGTGAACAAAATTCAGTTTAGGTTTTTCATTATCTGAACTTGCCTCATTTACCAGTCTGCATTCATCTTAAAAGCTGATGGATGCACCCTTAGAATTTGTTTTGAAATGTTTGGGGGTTTTTGTTTGTTTGTTTTAGAATCAATTCTCCTTGACTCACACATGCTGTCTTACTGGGTGTTATTTTGGGAGAACTTACAGGAATGACAGAATTAGTTGATGGCGTATTCTTTTTATCTAAAACCCACAGTTTTCAGCAAAAGTAGAATGGACTGGCTATATCCTGCCCCTTCTGTTATAGGTACCAAAACATAGGAAAAGGTGTTATTAGACAGCCCCTTGAGCTGAAGGGAGAGGGATGTCCCCTCCTCAGTGCTTGTCAGTCTCATAGGAATTAATTCAAATGAGTGACAGCATTGTAATAAAGCCAGTTTATTTTAAAAAGTAAAGCAGGTAAATTTATTAAAGAAGCAAAGCAAGCAAATTTATCAAAATACATCTGGCCTATAAGCACAGATGAGTTCTCTCAGCTAACCTGGGGAGGGGGAGGCTAGCATTTATACATTTTTCAGTCTATAGGTATTTTTGTTTGTTTTTTTGTTGTTGTTAATCCTCACCTGATGATATTTTTTCCATTGATTTTTAGATAGAGTGCAAGGGAGGGAGGAAAAGAAAGAGAGAGACACACATCCATGTGAGAGAGGCACATCAATAGGTTGCTTCTCACATGACCCCAACTGGGGCCAGGTATCAAACCCAATACCCTTCAGTCTGCAGACCTGTGGTCTAACTCTGAGCCAGACTGGCCAGGGTCAGCCTATAGGTTTTTAAATGCCTCTGTTGAATATCTTGGTACAGATTAACTTGGTACATTGTTATGGCCTTCCTAGAATTTATGAGAAGTACCTACCTGGTGATTTTATCTTGACAAGCCCCGGACTGCTGGCTTCACTATTTCAGTAGTGAGATGAAAACTGCATTTTTTTTTCCTTCCTCCGTCCCATCTTACCACTTCCAGGGTGATTTATACTATGTATTCTCTGGTGAGAGAGAAAGGGCATCAATCCTCCTCCTATGCCCTGGCCGGTTTAGCTCAGCAGTTAGAGCGTTGGCCTGCTGTCTGGAGAGACCTGGGTTCAGTTCCCGCTAAGGGCACGTACTTTGGTTGCAGTTTGTCCCCGGCCCTGGTTGGGTCGTGTGGGTGGCAGCCACTCGATGTGTCCCTTTCACGTCGATGTTTCTCTCTCTCTCCTTCCCACTCTATCTGAACAAACTATCAAAAAAAAAAAAAAAAAAAATGTCCTCAGGTGAGGATGGAAAAAAAAAAAAAGAGATTCCTCCTCCTAGACCCTGGCCGGGTGGCTCTGATGGTTAGCGTGTCATTCCGATATGTCCCGATATGTCAAGGTTGTGGGTTCAATCCTTGGCCAGGGCTCATACAAGAATCAACCAATGAATGCATAAATAAGTGGAACAAATCATTGTTTCTCGATCTCTCTCCTCTCTGTCTAAAAATCAATCAATCAATTTTTTTTAATTATTTTTTAAAAATAATTAAGAGGCTCCCCTTCCTCTCCCCTTCCCTTCCCCTTTGCTTTCCTGTGTTCTTTAGTGAGAAGAGGTTTTAACCCTTTGTTCTCAAATAAGGTTCTGCTATAAACTGTTTGGCCTTGTTTAATTTTCCTGTTTCCCTATTACTCCTATCCTAGAATTTTCCTAGCTTCTTAATATCCTGTAACACTTCAAGTTGACAAAACAATTTAGTCAAAAATGAATTCTTGCCCCAGCTGGTTTGACTCAGCCTCAACGGTTAGAGCGGTTAGAGCGGTTAGAGCGTCAGCCTGTGGAACAAAGGGTCACAGGTTCAATTTTGGTCAGGGGCACTTGTCTGGATTACAGTTCAATCTCCAGCCCTGGTTGGGGTCATTCAGGAGGCAGCCAGTCTCAATCTCAATCTCTCTCTCCCCCCGCCTTCCCTCCCTCTCTCTCTCTTTCTCTCCCTTCCTCCCTCTCCCTCTCCCTCTCTCCCTTTTTCCCCCTCTCCTCCTCTCCCCTTCTTTTCCATCTCCCTTCTGTCTTCCTCTCCCTTACTCTCTATCTAAAACTCAATGGAAAAATATTCTTGGGTGAGAATAAAAAAATAATAATTCTTGGCATTGTTCCTTGATTTCAGTTCTTTTAGGCATTTAAAAATTTTGTTCTTTTTCCTAACACCCCCTCCACCACCACCATATAAACTTACTTTTCAACTAGTTATTTCTCCTTGTAAATGTTACAGAAAAGGTAGAACAGCTACCCAACAAAACATATTAGACATTCTAAATGACCAACAGGTATAGGATATATTGATTACTTGTCCAATTAGACAAATTCACTTGTTTCCCATAGAACTTTATACTGGTTTTATAGGACTAACCACAATATATTTGTTGTGTCTGATTCCTCTACTATATTGTGAGTTTTATCATATTTGTTTTTGTGTTTATAGTATGAAACAGTCTGGTAGCACAGTGCACTTAATTATTAAATTAGGTTGAATTTTTATTTAACCTAACCTAATTTTAGATGTTTTTTTAAAAGGAATGATGGGCCCTGGCCGGTTTGGCTTAGCGGTTGGAGAGTCGGTCTGCGGTCCAGAGAGACCCAGGTTTGATTCCTGCTAAGGGCACGTACCTTGGTTGCAGTTTGTCCCCTGCCCTGGTTGGTTGTGTGGGTGGCAGCCACTCGATGTGTCCCTTTCACGTCAATGTTTCTCTCTCTCTCTCTCTCTCTCTCTCCCCCTCCCACTCTACCTGAACAAAAAATGGAAAAGTGTCCTCGGGTGAGGATATAAATAAATAAATAAATAAATAAATAAATAAATAAATAAAATAAAATAAAAAGGGATGATGGTAGGAAGTACCCTTAAGTAACCTTAAGGCACAGGTAAAAAAAGAAAAATAAAAGGGAAAATAAGAATGGTTAGCAGATTAATAAAATGAAGAAAGAAAGTATTAATGACATTGATTGCCTCTGGATTTTCTTTTCATTACTTCCCTTAGAGGATTTGATAAATCTGTGATCTCAACAAAAGAAAGAAGCTCCAAAAAGATACCAATCTCTACTTTTTATCTACATTCCATCTACTACTTACTAATTGTGAAAGCAGCAAGAACACATTAATCTAAATATCTATGTATTCACTCATTCATTAAACATTTGAGTTCTCACTATGTCAGATATTACAGTTGACCCTTAAATAATGTTGGGGTTGGGGCACTGACCACCTCTGTGGTTGAAAATCCCCATAAACTACAGTCTACCCTCCCCATATGTGGATTTCCAACTGCGGGTAGAAAATACCGTATTTGATACCCTTAGGGGAAAATGTTTCTCCTCAGACTTAAAGAATTTACATTCTAGTGGAAAATATGTCTAGCTAAATTAATGTTATACTAAAAATATAGATGTACAGATGAGGGGACTGATTCTTCTTCCTAAAAATCACGAGAGGTGTTTTGAAGAATTAAGAAACTTGAGCTGGTCTTAGTGGATGAAAGAGAAACTAAATTCTTAAGTCTGTTGCCTTATTTGTATCAGTTTGATCCTTTTGTATTTTAAGATAACTGACCTTTAAACATTTTAAGTACATATGAAAGTGTTACAGGCACACCAGAAACAACAGAAAAGGTGTTATCAGAAAACCCCCTTAGTTGAAGGGAGAGGGCTGTTCCCTCCACCTTGGTTCTTGTCAGTCTCATAGGAAAGAATTCAAACTAGTGACCCTGGACGATTGCATTGTAGTAAAACGAATTTATTAAAGCAATAAAGCAAGTATTAAAGAAGCAAGGCAAACAAATCTATTAAACTACATCCAGCCTAGAGCACAGATGGACTTTCCAGCTAGTCTGAGAAGTGAGTCTGGTGGGAGTTTAAGGGATTGATTATACACCCTTTTGTCTATAGGTTTTTAAATTTCTCTGCTGAATATCTTGGTACAGATTAACTTTCAAGGTCTTCCTTTCACTTTGTTATGACTTTCCCAGAACTTATGAGAAGCACCTGGCAATTTTATCTTGACAAGCTCTGAGACTACTCTCTTAAACAGTGAGATGAAAACTCTCTTTTCTCCCCTCGTTCCCCAAGATGGCTGATTTCC